CACACACACACACACACACACACACACACACACACACACACACACACACACACACACACACACTCTATCTCTCTCTCTCTTTCTTTCTCTGTCAGAGGATGTAGAGACACCAGTCCACCTAAACTGTGGATTTGCACCTTGGGAGATCATACATTTTCCACACAAACAGAACCAGGCTGAGGTTTAATCCTACAACCCATTGCAGTACCACTCACCGAACCTCCGTTATATAATCAGTCTTTTAAATGAGCTTTTCTGCAAGTGTTCGGTTTTACCTCCACTTAACTGCTTTCACAGATGCAGTCTCATTAGTGTCCTCCAGGAGGCGTAGTAATTGGTACCTTTCGGGTTTTGCCACAGCCATGCCCTTCGCCTTCTGCACGCGGGAAAAGGTGCCTTGGACGGAGTTCGCTGAATCCGCCGAGGAGGGACACACCACCCGCTTCTGCCAGAAGGTGAGCGGTCACGACCCTGAGCTTGGCTGACATCACACGTAATTATCTCATTGGACTGTGTGCGGTGGTTGGATCGATCCTCCTCTTGATGAAGACGCCCCTGTCTGGGGCCTTCTGTGATGTGGACGGGCAGATTGTTATGTGGGGTATAATGCTATGTCTTCAGTTAGCATCTCTCTGAGTCGCCCCCCCGTTACTCCTCCTGTTTTTCCCGATGTGAGCCATAGGTGTCTAATTTATCGCTGTGTAGCGTAGAAGCTGCAAGCTGCAAGACACTCACCTCATGTTTTTAGCATATTTAGTAGGAGTAGCGTTTGTCAGACCGCCCTTCTGTATTTTTTGATATTTTGAGGGGGGCAGTTATTTGCTGCCATGCACGCACCACCCTTCATCGACATTCACCCCCCCCCCACCCATCTCCATCCTGTACCTTCCTTTTCATTCATCAACATGGGCTTAATAAGCAGTGTTAGGAACCGGGGGGAGAGATTAACGCCTCAGACTCTGCTGGAGACAGGAGGGACGAGCATTTCCACACGTAGCCTCTGCTCCCCCCCCCCCCCCCCCCNCCCCCCCCCCACCCATCTCCATCCTGTACCTTCCTTTTCATTCATCAACATGGGCTTAATAAGCAGTGTTAGGAACCGGGGGGAGAGACTAACGCTACACACTTTGTTGGAGACAGTAGGGACGAGTATTTCCACACGTAGCCTCTGCTCCCCCCCCCCCCCCCCCCACACCCCCACACATCTACACCACTACACCACACTCATTTTGCGGCTGGCACTTTCTCGAGAGGAGGAGACTTTGAATGAAAAATCTGCATTTATTCTTTATTAAAGCTTTCTGTGGACGATTCCGGAAATTAAGCTAGATGTTTTGCCCTCGGTGCATGTCAGCGTGTGGGGTATGAGATTTTAAATCGTTCTGTCACGTATACACACTACCAAGGGTGTGGGTTTGGGTGTGGACGGGAGCTCATGTCCCCACCAATATTGTGGGAGTACTGTGTGTGTTTAGGTGGGCGGTGCTTTGGGGAAGATTTGTTCCCTAGCAGTGTTGAAACCAAACCTATGTCCTTGGCTGTACCGAGGGCAGGTGTGTGACGGTCCTCATTCATGTCCACAGCTCGCAGAGAAGTACAACATGGTGGTGGTGTCACCCATCCTGGAGCGAGACGAGTCACACGGAGCCACCCTGTGGAACACAGCAGTCGTGGTCTCCAACTCGGGCCGCGTGCTGGGCAAGAGCCGCAAGAACCACATCCCGCGCGTGGGCGATTTTAACGAGGTGGGCTCGCCAGGCGGCTCAGTAGCTGCCCATAATAATGCACTGCAGACGGTTTACCTGAGACCGCGGCGACAGATAAAGAGGCCTCATTCGGGCCTCGGCACGGCGGCGGACGAGAGCGAATCCGCTGCCAGTGGGGCGCTGCGGGTCCAGCCACAGGGCGACCCCAGGTGGCTCTCGGCTCCGGCCCGCTAGGCCGCAAACCCACTGAGAGATGAGAAGCTGTTGATTGCTTTGTGCCGGGGCTTGTATTGACCATAGTTTGGTGCATCCCTCCTCCCTACCTACAGAAGTAAGTTACTTTCCAGTATGACAGCTCCGCTGTATGGAACAGAGTCTCCACTGTATAGAGCTTAAAAGAAAGAAAGAAAAAAACACGTCAATAATGACTAATTTCAGAGTTTGGCACCAGCCGTGTCGATACAGATCGGACGCAATTTCATTGATTCTGTCAGAAAATTTGTCACGCCAGTTAATCTCGGTTCTAGAAGCGAACTCCTTTGGCTGCAACTGTAATTTCCTCTGACTGTGAAATCATCCTTTTCTCCCCAAGTTTGTTCCTAATGGGATCTGGTGCTATTGTGAATTATTAACCCTCTAGATTCTGCAAATAATCCTAAATAAACACTCTACCCCGCGCTGTAGGAAACACTTGATTACCAGTGTGAGTGGATAATAATCATGAACAGTTACCAGCTCATGACTGGAAAAGTAGGCATTAACAGCTAGTTACAGTTTTTGGTCTCACTAATAGTACAGTTAAATTCCTGTTGTCTATGTTGAGTTTGCATGTTCTCCCCGTGTCATCGTGGGGATTCCTCTGGATATTCCTGTTTCCCCCCACAGTCCAAAACATGCTGAGGTTATTTGGAGTTTCCAAATCATTGGGTGCCCCATCCTGGGTTGGTCTCTGCCTTGCACACGTAGCCTCTGGGATAGGCTTGGAACCCCGCGTGACGGATGGATGGATGGATGGATGGATTGCTTGTTGGTTTTCCTAATGTATTTATTTACTGTTATTTTAAATTTGCTCATGAGGAAATATCACGTCCTTTCAAAATCAAGAGAATCAAGCCAGGCGACACTGGATGGGACGCCAGCGCTTCGCATGGTGCACACAGGGTCCTGTAGGGCTAAGGCCAGCATTCGAACCCCCAGTGGTGGAGGGGAGTGTCTCACTCAGTGTTTACATATTGGCTTAGCAGAAGTGATAAAGCTTACGGGTCAAAATCGTTAAACAGATTTAACCGAAGAGCTTCAGAATCAATTATTGCAGAGCGTTTCAATAAACTGTCAATTGCTTAGTCATTCTAAGAAAAATGGCGATGATTAGAATAGGTGTTTGAGGGTTTGATTTGGCATTTAGCTGCATATGAAATTGATGCCTATTTTGGTCTTAAAAGGTATAAAATGAAAGGAGGAATGGACTCATTAAAACATTGTCCGGTACGCCTACTGAACAGGCGGTAATGTTCATTAAACTACATTATCCACATGCAGGGTCTCCTTATTCATCTTGCTCTTTGTTATACCCCATATTTACCTCACACTGAAGCCTAACCGGTTGCAGCTGGATCCATGGTCGTCCAGTTTCCCACCAGAAACCTTTGAATGGGCTCTATGGCAACTGAGGAGATGCTCGTTCGTGGGAATGAGACTCTTGGGTTCCTCTAAGATGAGCATGTCATGAGCTTGGAAGGAGACCATCAGAGATGCCTCCCTGTGCTCTGTGTTACCCGTCTGCCGTATCAGCGAGGGCCCCGAACAGCTCAGAAAAGAGCCGTGAGTCTCCGAGGTCCAGTGAACCTCCGATTATGCAAATGCCACGAGCTTCCATTTTCTCCCGACCTTTATGATGAACATTCTTCTGCAATAATTAGACGAGCCTGTATGTCTGATGTTTACCTTCCTCTGGTACACAGACTCTGACAGCTGTGTATTTGGACACCAGAATGTGCACCAACCGCAATTGCATCGCTCTGTGTTGTTCTAGAGTAAAATATGCCTTTTGCTCCTGCCTGCAATAGATGTGTCTGGCAAAGAAACGTTGGTATTTTGTCAGGTAACAATACAAGACCCCCGGTTATGTGGGGGGCGTTCAGATTCAGTCCTGGAGAATCCCAGACAATAGAAAATTCAGAACATTGTTTTATACGTCTCGCTAAGCTGCCTCTTCCTGGATCTGCTGCTTCACCTGTTTATTAATTATAATACTTTATAACTCCCTCACCCTTTGCAGCTGTTTGCTATTCTTCTCCAATCTCCTGTGAAATGTAGGTGGACGCTGTCCAACAGGACTGGGGTCCAAGTTGTTTGGTTTGTTACCCTAACCCACCATAGCTGGAATAGTCAAATGCTCAAACTGCTTATCCTGGTCAGTGCTGTGGGGACGGTCAGTCATGTAATTATATTAGAATGGATCCCTAAAATATAGTGTAGCACTTGCCCAGAATAGAACCCAGCAAATCAGTGATGTGTGAGTGAGTCTGGGGAGGGACATTGGGACATTTGGATGGATCCTGTTTGTTTTCCAGGTGTGGATGGTGCTGAGTTGGCACCTGCCACTTGCTGATGATGTTTCTGTCACCTCTGTCCAAACGCTGCCAGTCCACCTACTACATGGAGGGTGACACGGGCCACCGGGTCTTCCAGACGCAGTTCGGGAGGATCGCCGTCAACATCTGCTACGGGCGACACCACCCCCTCAACTGGCTCATGTACAGCGTGAATAGCGCTGAGATCATCTTCAACCCCTCTGCTACCATTGGAGGTCTCAGGTAAACGGTTTGGCAGGAAAATACACAAATGGAGTGTATCTCAACGTAGGTGTTAATTCCAACGTCCAAGGTGGGCTGTACCTGTTCTGGAGATGCTAAATCAAAACGGAAGTGCTCTCCTTTGTTATCTCAATATTGTTTCTGCTTATGTCTTATGTTTTAATGGCTCGTTAAGCCCATTGAAATGTACCATGTAGCATGTGACTTGTACTTATTGGTTACTTGTGGTTACATGTGTAGAGTGCCTGTCAACAGATTAAAAAGGATGTAGATGGTGGGTAAGGTAAGACTGTAAAGAGATTGTTTTGGGGTGGGGGCATGGGAGGGACATAATTCACACACAGGAGCTAACCTTATCATTAACTAATGATAAGCTTTGAATCGGTGAGTGACAGGGGAGGGGGCATTCCGGGAGCCAATCAGCTTTCAGCTGGGGTCAGTGCCTTTGTGGGTGGCCCGATACATTCAGTAAAAGTTTAATTTGGCTTAAAGGAACAGCTATAGGGGCTTGGATTAGCTGACAGATGCTGTGAGCCCCTGTCTGTAGATGTTCCCGTGACTGTGGCTTTCCATGGTAGTGAGCCCATGTGGCCCATCGAGGCGCGGAACGCGGCCATCGCCAACCACTGCTTCACGTGCGCCATCAACCGCATTGGCACGGTGGGTACTGAGCAGTCGGCAGGCTGGGGCACGTGGGCCCTGAAATCGAAAAGATCTCACATGCCAGGGGGACGACACATTGTTAAAACCTGCCATTTCGTTTACACAGATTAAATTGCGTTTCAGCTTTTCTAGGAATGGTCATTGTTTAATCTCTCACAAATATTTCACGCAAGAATAGCACTGGGAAGAAGCATTGGTGCCTTGTATGAATCATTAAGCGCATGACTGCTGAAATAGTTTAATGGCTTAGAAAATCGCTAATGTATTCACCTTGTGTTATCTGTACGAATGGACTTTGCTGATTGCTTCTTTTCGCTACACACCTGTCTACTTAACATGGAGCCCCTATCACAAACGAATGAGTGCGTGTTATGGCTCCGCTTTGGCCTCACTCACATGCTGAAGACACGAGAAAGGATATTTAAAAAATAAACTGGCATGCTGAGAAAGTGGTCTGAATATGCAACTATTTAGTACATACTGTAGCCCAACTCTGCCCCCTGGTGTTTCAGACATGAATTACATTTTTACAATAACATAAAATTGCAAATAACTATTTTATTATGATTGTACTGACTTTACATGTGCTTCTAGGAGCATTTTGAAAGTGAGTTTACTTCTGGAGATGGAAAGAAAGGTAAGTTTGTTTCATTGTCATGACAAAAATAAATGAATATAAAAAATACAAGTAAACTGACTGGAAAAATATAAATGTAAAAAGTGTCAAGTTTGACTACATGAATCCATCCATCTTCTAACTTCTTATGCTGTTTGAGGTTGTTGGAAGCCTGTCACGGGCGGCACAGCTGCTGGCCGGCATGTCAGTCCATCACAGGGCACACAGACACCCAGTAATTCACACACTACGTGGATTTCAAAGGGCCCTTCTGCATACTCCTTAGGTCATTTAATAAAAAGCTTATCCGTGTGACTGACAACACAGAGTAACTCCACCTACCATAGGGTGCCTCATTTACCAGATTGCTAAAAATATGCCACGATGACAAATAAATGACCTGACATACAACTTTACAAGGCATCCACCATTTGCACAGCATCCAGACGCATCCATCTACCTCCGCAATCCTTCAGTGTTATTATTATGAGCATTTGAGCTATTGGATGCCCCTTAGGGCTTAATGAAGTACCTACAAACCTACCATCCATGCAGCGTCAGTTCTTGACTCCCCTGCATCTCAGCTGACAAGCTTACAGTGTAGGTTTCGGGCGGCCAATCTTATCCGCAAAGGCTCAGTGTGTATGCAGGTTATTGGGATAACCTTTAGGTCGGCTGTTCAGACCCAGGTGTGAGGACTCTTCAGCCAATCAGTCCTCTAATTAATAATCTAATAATTAGGCAGTTGCAGCAATAACCCACATACACAGCTGCCCTTTCTGGATAAGTTTGGCCACCACTGGTGTGGGCCAAACTGCCGCATGTTCCTGCGCAGAAGCTCATTATTGCACCCCCTAGACTAAACGAGCTAAACGCATCTGTTACAGAGTTACAGTTCTGTAAAATGCATACCAGCAAGCAGTAATCAGTCACCAACCCAAACCCACATACTGTACAGGCATCGTCAACTGCGCTGGTTATGCGGAACATTCATAAAAATAACAGTATTTGTCTTCTTCTGGTTATGATATTCTTTAATAAACTAAGTCAACTTCTGCACAACAGAGTGGGTTGCTAAAGGCTGTCAGAAACCCCCTAAAATTAAAGCGTTACAGTAAAACATGCACTTGTCTATATTGGCACATTTACATGCCGCTTTGGATAAAGGTCTTATCTCAGCAAACTCAATGCAAATCCCTTATTTAAAAAAAAAAAACCACACAGAGACGGTTTGCTCTGAGACTGGTCCCATGCAGCTCGCTGCCGCCGCACTGTCTGCATGGTCGTCTGACCGTTTCCGCCACGTTTCTCGATCCCCTCAGCTCACCATGACTTCGGCCACTTCTACGGCTCGAGCTACGTGGCTGCGCCGGACGGGAGCCGCTCCCCCGGACTCTCCAGGACCCGCGACGGACTCCTGGTGGCTGAACTGGACCTCAACCTGAACCGGCAGATAAGCGACAAGTGGGGCTTCAAGGTGAGTGGTGCACCATGCCATGTGGCTCCTTCGGGCAGGCCCAACTGCACGGCCGCCTCCCTCCTCAGGATGTGCGCGAATTTCCCTTACAGATGACGGGGAGGTACGACATGTACGCCAAGGAGCTTGCTGAGGCTGTCAACGAGAATTTCACACCCAACATTGTGAAAGAGTGAAGCCACTCCCCCCTCCAAAGAAAGTGGTAATGCGAATAATTTTGGGTCTGTCACTAGCAAATGGGAAACTGAACACTCAGAAAATGTCTACCCCTAATCTTACGAAAATCACTCAGCCAACAAAATGTACACAACATATAGTTTATTACAGAAATCTACTTCAAAAAATAAATTTTACAATTCTGAAACATTACCATTCTGTTTAATGAACTTTGAGATATTCAAAATACCAGAAAATGGCTGATCCCTTTTGATATTGACACACAAAAAGAAATCTTCACCATCTTCACATTGAATATTAAATAGCCATAGCTGTCAGAAAAGCCACAGTGCAACACCTTCAGCTATAAATGAGCAGTGAAACTACATGGTGGCTGATGTGGTCAGCTCACAGCACCAGCGTTGTGATGTCACTTCCTGCCCCCAACTCTGCATGTGGAGTTTACATGTTCACTCACTCACACATACACACACAGACACACATTTCTTCCCACAGCCCAAAAACATGGTTAGATGAATTGGTGAATCTAAAATACTCTGTGACAGTATGAGTTCATCACTGGACTGGCATCAGGCCCCGGACTGGAAAATCACTTCAGGAAAATGTATAATCTCCACATAATTACATTCTTTAAAATTAGGGCTCAATCACTTTTAATGAGAAATCAATTTTTGAGCACCAGATGCTTTACCTAAACTTTCAAATGCAGTCAAACCTCTACGACTTCAGCACTGAAAAAAATTAAATGATGACCGATTATATGTCTTTAAACCCTTAAAGATGATCCTCTGGCTTGAATCCCTTTTTGACAAAGAAGACTGGATTTATTTGTGCTGAATAACAATAGATATACAATCCGAGAATGGAAATAATGTGCAGGTACTTTCTCCAGATCTATCCACCTATGGCACACACATGTGGCAGTGTCACACCTGCACTGTTAAATGATTAATGAGTCTTAGTAAGTCTCTCTAAATGTTTAAATCACTCCACTTTTATAAAAGCACAATACTGTTATTTCTAGCTTTGTCCAGGGGTTTGTGGGTAGCTCACACCTCTATGGCTGGGTGCTACTTCCTTGTCTGCCTCCGTCTGGCTCGGTCTGTCTGTGCGCAGTGATGGACAATCATCCTGCCCAGGACAGGCTTCAGGGTCACAGTGACCCCGCTTTGAAAAAGTAGCCAGTCATTGATGGTGGACGTCTCACTGGGATTATACATTTAACAAAACATCACCTTTCAAAGTCACCGCAAACTGCTGTCGTCAGTTTCAGGTTAGGATACTATTCGTAGCTTTGTACCATCTTTCTAAAGGGATACCAGCAAAGGGCACTGATTTGCTGATTCAAACCTCACAAGGGGCCTGGATGTCATGGCCTTCAGGGACTTTACACAATCCGATTCAGCAAAAACATCCAGGTGGTGGGTGTGGGAATGCCAGAAGATAAAAGCAGGAGACTGACACTTGGGGGTCATTCGTTCTTTCCCTTGATCCCTGAAAAATGCTTAGTTTCTTTTTGTTTTTACTTGGAGTGTTATCCTCCCCACGGCGATGCGAGCCCGCCCCCTCTGAAAGGCACGCCGACCCCCTAAAGAGAGATGCCGTTCGCTGCCTGCATCACCCGATTCCCCTCGTCTTATCCTGGTTTCACGACGGATAAAACCCAAATCAATCTACGCAAGACATGAAAAACAGCTCCCAGAACCAAGCAGCGATTGCATTTCACAGCACTGTAAACATTCTAGCTTCTCTTCCCACTTGTATGGCAGTTTGTGTTACTCAACAGCTTTTTAGGGGAAAAAAAAATTACTTTCCCCAAATCTACAGCACACATATTCCCGATGAACTGAGGAATGCTGACGTGCAGCTCATTCTTGGACGAAACCTGAGTCAGCATGGCAACGTCAATTGATTTTGCTGATACACTATGGCAGTATTTCAAAACACTATTGACAATATTTTACCATTAATACATTCAAGACATTTTAAAAAGATAATTGTTTTTCCCTTTTAATTTTCCAAATGGTATGGCTTATGATTAAGGAACATCGTTTTTTAATCCACCTTCTTGGGTCTCCTCATTCAGTAGGAGACCTTCCACCACAGTCTGAAACGGCCCAGGACTAACCTGGTCATGAACCTATGAGCACCAAAACAAGGACGCTGCCCATGGTTCCCCAGCTGGGTCACAGTGAGGTCACAGTTCATGGGCGTAGAGGTCAGCTCTCCTTGTAAAGGAAGAGGATGTCCTGGTCTGTTCCGTAGCTGTTGCGAGCCTTCTCAAAATTACTGACAGTGGAGCAGCACACCCCTGTGAGACAGAATGCACAGTTGCATTAAATCTGTTGCATTAAACACGTACAAGCAACCTACAAATAATGATAATAGATTACATTTATATAGCGCCTTTCACAAACCCAAGGTTGCTTTACAAGGAAAAAAAGACATAAGCAGTTGAGGAAGAAGAAAAATGTTGATTAAACAGGAAGGTCTTTAGGTCAGATTTAAAAGAAGAGAATGAAGAAGAGAATTCCTGAGTTTGGGGGCAGCGGCACTGAATGACCTGCCACCCATAGTGAGGAAGGGAGGGACAAGGAGCAGATGACAGCGAGATGATGGAGAGAGTGAGGGGTCAGCAATATGGGTGCTGTTCCCTTGCAGTTTTTCTTCAATTTACAGTAGCAGTAGAAATTTGGAGACACCTACTCATACAAAGGTTTATTTGCATCATAATCTACATTTTGGAATAATTATAAAGACATCAAAACTATAAAATAACACACATGGAATTATACACTGACCAAAGAAGTATTAAACAAAAAATAATAATTTGGTGGGGGGGGGGCAGCTCTGTGGTGTTAGGACTCAGAAGGTTGCCAGTTCAAATCCCGTGGTCAGCAGAGTGATTGGTCCTTGAGCAAGGCCCTTAACCCTAATTGCTCTAGGGACCCTGCTGTCTCCTCTATGCCAGTTTCATGAGGTGGCCTCCTCCACTTGTCCTGAAGGAGGTCCTACATATATGCTTAGCACTCTGGTCAAATTGCTCCTAAATCATTTCTACTGTGTTTAGATCAGGTTGCCAGGTCATGTGATGTGGCACTATTGCTCTCCTTTGTAGGCAGCTTGGTGTGTTCAGACTTTTGACTGGTACTGCAGATCATGTTGATTTAACCGGCACAGTCTTCCCCGAATAAAACAGAGCACCCCGCACTCTTAGGAAACAGGCCACATAAAACAAAGCCAGATCAGGGTTATGTACCAACACCACACATCCTTCTGCTCTAGCCTCCTTGTCAAGTATGAAACAGTTTTACGAAAATAAAACACACACCAGGCCTATGGTCAGGTGGGCAGTTCAGGTCCGTAGAGTTAAAATCCAGACCAAGACTTTGTTTCAACCAACCAGTTCAGTATTCTGTGACTATGACCCTTTATACTCAACTGGTCGGCTGAAACAAAATCTTGGTCTGAACTTTTACTCTCTGGATCTGAACCACCCACCTCTGACCATAAGCCTGGTGCGTGTTTTATTTTTGTAAAACATACTTGAGAAGAAGGTTACAGCAGAAGGACGTGTGTGTTGGTACATAACCCTGATCTGGCCAACATCAGCCACAGACATTGGAGATGGGTGGGAGACACTCACGGTAGGAATACGCTGGATTGTTGTAGAAGAACCAGCCGGCATGCCGGTCGAAGCCGCGCAGCACCACGAAGTGCCCCTGGTAAGCCGGTTCCTGGTAGAAGAAGCCGTGGGCCACGAGGGGGAAGCAGCAGTGGCGACTGCGGCGGTGGCGGCCAATGGGAGCAGAGCAGTGCTCGCATCGCAGTTCCATGGCGTTGACCAGCACGATGGCCACGTGACCCTCAGCCAGGTGAGTCTGGATCTCCTGGACAGTTACGGAGCTGAGAGAGAGAGGCGGCGGGACAAAGGACAAGGACGAGTCGATGGGGTGTGTCCCCAGGGACGCGATCGAAGGCGGGAAAAGCATTTTAACAAAGGTGAGATTTTCATAACACTGAGAGAGATGAGGAGAAGCCTCTCTTACCATTTTCGCACCATCACACTCTTGCTTTCTGCATTGAGGAACAGTTTATTCACCCTTTCTTCTTCAAAGTCAAAATCCTTCTTGTAGAAGGACTAGGGGAAAAAGCAGAAACCAGACTTCAGTGTTTGTCCACCATTAAGCCTAAAGCATCCTGGGGACTATACTACGAAGCGGGGTTACTGGCTTATCGGGGTAACTTGTCAGATTTAAGGTACCTCAGTTTAAATGGACTTCATAATCGCTCACTTACATTTTGCCCAGACTACCTTAAATCCGAAAGTTACCCGGATAAGCCAGTAACCCCGCTTCGTAGTACAGGCCCCAGGTCTAATGGAATCACAGGGTTACCCCATCATTTTTCATAATGCTCCTGCCGTAAGACTTCAGGTTAGGAGCACTGGAGGAATATTTTCGGAAAACATTTGTTTATCCATTCAGCCATCCATCCATCTTCCTGAAGACACCTTGGGAGGTGTCCACCACGGAGGACATAATCCCATTTGATGGCCACTTCTGAGTCGCTCTTCTACCTGATGGCATGTTTTTGGAATAAACCAAGAGCCCAGGGAAACAGTGTGACACAGAGTGAATATACAAACTCCACACACCAAACAAGGGAACAAACCTCTGAACTTGGAGTTGTGAGATTCAATGAGAACCACATTTGTTTTGTTTTGCTTTTTTCCCCCCCATGGATCACATCAGGTGTATAGCCATGATTTATGAATTGCCTGTTCTACCTGGTGGAAGTCCCAGAATTCCCAGACTGGGCCCTTATTTGAGCCTAAAGTAGGGCTGGGCAATTAATTGAAAATGAATTAAAACCGACATTCAGAACCTCTAATCGACGTAATCTTGCCCATGTCGGTTACTTCAGTATTTATTTGTTTTAATTCTGTTAATACTTTCTCCACTGTGTTTATGTATTGTCCCCTTAAAAACGTACTACCGTGTGTGCGGTCATGTGACTCTGCGCCATACAGTCTGCGACATGGAAGCAGCATGGAGGCGAAGGAAACACCGAGCCGACTGAGCAGCTCCAGCTGCTTGTGCCAAAGAAAAATGCCATGTCTGATGGCTTTAGTGAAGAAGACACTTAATAAAAAGAGGTCAAATGTAAACACTGTGGATAGTTTCAGCTACCAAAGGTAATACCACCAATTGGTTTCAACACTAGCAATATTTAAAATACAGTGAAACCTGCTTATAGTGATCAACCGCTTATATGGATCAAAAAGCTTGGGGCAGAGTCATTCTTGTACAAATCCTGTTAAATTAATTTGCTTATAGTAATCAAGTAGTCCACTTACAGTGTTCATTTTGGGTCTCTTTATACATAACAACATATGGAAAGTATTAAAACTATGGTAATTCTTTTTTTTCTACTTGCCTAATTTGCCTTGCGGTAACCCATCTGATTCTGCTAGCTATCCGAAGCTAATGCTGCGTGCACAGAAAACATGATGAGAAAAAGAAAGTCATTTTCTGTCAATGACAAATATAGACTCATCAAAGCTTATGATAAACTGCCAAAAACGAGCCAATGAAGTGCAGTAGCGAAACTACAATAAGCTATAGTTTATGTACAGTACTGTAGTGTATTATAGCGTATTTGAATTATAAACAGTTCAGCAATTTAATTTGTACAATACAGTGATTTGAAAAGAGTTTCAAATTTTGAGACAATAAAATTCAGTAAATAGCGATGCTGTCCATTTTATTACCTTATATTCGTGTAATAAACATACAAATGTCAATTAGATGGTAATCTGCCTGAGACATAAAGAAAAAGAAAAAATGATCATCCACTTATAGTGATCAATTTCACCCAGACAGATGTGATGACTACAGCATAATGGTTTATTTTGTTTGCAAGAAATTTAAACTATTTATTTTCTACTTTTTACGGAACCTTTTTCATAAGGCGTTTTCATTTCAACCTATTTCTTGCTTTGATTTCAGTTGTTCAAAATATTCAATAAATAACCATAATGGTTCATCTGTGTTTCCTTCAATTATTTTTAAATCATAAAAATTAAATAGAAAAATAGAAAACAAAACTGTAAGTGGTCTTTCAATTAATGACATTGGTGATCATTTACCTGTTTTTGCAATATATCACCGCAATTACAGGAAGGACAAACAAGAAAATACACTAAAATACAAACGGGTGAGAACAGAGGAGTCCACAAATGCATTTAAGTGATCTACTTAAGGAAAACTGGGAGATGGTGTATAAGGAAAAAGATATTGACAAAGCTTATGAGACAGGAAATTTTTTAAATGTTATATGATAGGCATTGTCCTGTAAAGAAATATAGCAAAAAAACAAAAATACGCAGAGAGCCCATGGATCACAAAAGGATTACAAAATGCATATAAAAAGAAAAATACTTTATATAGACAATTTATAAAGTGCAGAAGTAGAGAAGCTGAAAATAGATATAAGAAACATAAAAAAAATTAACTAGTAATTTGAGGTCTTGTAAAAAGGAATATTATGAGAAATTATTAGATATGAACAAAAATAACATTAAAGGGATTTGGAGAACATTAAACAGTATTATTAAAAATAGTTTTAGGTCGTCAAATTACCCTCTGTATTTCACTAATAATGATAGAAATATTAGTGATATGGCTGATGTGGTTAATGAATTTAATAGATTCTTTGTAAATGTTCGGCCGAACTTGGTTGATAGAATCCCTGATACGGGAATTTGCGCAGAGAGGGCAACCAAACTCATCGAACATAATCCTTATTCAATGTTTTTAACAGTGGTAGAAGAAAAGGAAATAACTGACATTGTTGGGAAATCACAAAATAAAACTTCCACAGACTTTAATGATATCGATATGAAAATTGCTAAAAAAAAGTTGTTGATGGTATCTCTAAACCTTTAACATATATTTGCAATTAGTCTCTGCAAACTGGTACATTGCCAACACAAATTAAAATAGCTAAAGTTACCCTTGTACAAAAAATGGAGATAGACATCAATTCACAAATTACAGGCCTGTTTCTCTATTCTGTAATGTCACAATTCTCAAAAATACTTGGAAAAGTTTTAATTAACTTGACAAATTAATTGATAAACATAAATTATTAACGGACAGCCAGTATGGTTTAAGATGTTGGAGTGGGTGAAGAGTTATTTGAAAAGCAGGCAGCAATTTGTGAAAATTGGTGAATATCAGTCAGAGTGCCTTGACATTGTTTGTGGAGTCCCACAGGGGTCAATATTAGGATCAAAACTGTTTATCCTGTACATCAATTATATATGTAAAACATCTGATATATTTCAGGTTATCTTATTTGCAGATGATACAAATATTTTTGTACTGGAGATAATTCACAGCAGCTTTTGGAAATTGTCACAAAAAATGATCCTGAAAACATAGTTTGATAGAAACAAGTTATCACTAAATTTGAACAAAACTACATTTATGTTATTTGGAAATTGTAAAAATGATGCTAGAGTCAAATTGTTGATAAATAATGTTGAAGTACAGGAAGTTTTTCATACAAAATTTCTGGTTGTAACAATAGATAATAAACTCTCCTGGAAACCGCATATAAACCATATACAAACTAAACTGTCAAGGAGCATCTCTGTACTAAGTAAAGCAAAACATCTTTTGCATTACAAATCACTCCGTATACTTTACTGTTTACTTATATTGCCATAATTGGAGTACTGTGTGGAAATCTGGGGAAATACATACAAAACTTCACTTCAACCATTATGTAAAACTTCAGAAAAGAACAATTAGGATTATTAATAAAGTAGGTTTCAGAGACCACACTAACATTTTGTTCTTGAAGTCAAAAATCTTGATCTTTATGGATCTTATAAAATATAAAACTTAACAAATAGTGTATAAAGCCAGATATAATATGTTGCCAGGAAATGTGTTTTTGACAAAGAAGGGGACTATAAACTGATGGGAAATATAATTCTGCTAAATTGTATCCGCATTACATCTACCACTGTGGTTATACTTATACATTTTCTTTTTTTTTCCTTTTAGTATGGGGTGAGTAATGAGGGGAGGTATGTACATACTTCCTCCTACTCCATTTTGGACTTGACTTTTTTTTCATTTCATGTTATTAAGATTTTGTTTATTTGTCTGCGGCACACACGAGTGTGTACCTATATAGGCAGGTGTGTGTGTGTATATATATATATATATATATATATACACACACACACACACACACATATATATATACACGTATGTGTATGTATTGGTTTGTTGTATATGTTCAAAATAAAAGGTTATCATCATCATCATCATCATAAAATATTGTCTTTCATTAGAAAAAATATCCCAGCTTTAACGGTATTTACATATTTACAGTACAAACTTTGTCAATGAAATATGAGGACAAACAAAGAAATAATTGTTTATTGACTATAATCAAGGTAAAATGTTCAATTAACCGTGATATTGATTTGAGGTCGTATCGGCCAGCCCTACCCTAAAGGAACATGTCTGTTTTTCCAAACCACCAAGAGATTGCAATTGTGTGTGGCTCTATACATACCCATAATAAGACAGTCACCAGTTTACATCCCATGGTTGCCACAGTAATATCACTGTTGGGCCCCTGAGCAAGGCCCTTAAGCCCAAGTGGTCCAGGAAGTGGCTGACCATTTTCTGACCCTCAAGATCTTTATTGGCTATAAGTGCATTAGAATGCTTGCTTATTCAACCACACTTAGTTGCAAAGATACCAAAGACAGTGTTGCTTTGTACTACAGGAGCCACAAAAAGTGAAATAAATGAGACCATGAGGATATCTAGGTACCTGCTTCCTGAAGCCCTTGTCTACGCCCAGGGTCTGAGTACAGAACAGGTGCCTGACGCCCAGGCGATGCATGAGATAGGCCAGGTCTATAGTCCACACACTCTCCGTGAGCTTCAGCTCTTGGCACGCACTGCAGAAGTCTTCCTCACTCACTGGATGCAGGTACCTGCCACATACACACATACCAGAAAGTGCTGTCAGGATTTCCCGCAACACAGCCCTATGTCAAGACACTGACATTCACCAGAACTCATAACTACACTGACGTACCTACAAACATGAACAATTGTATTCATATTATAGTTATATGATTAAAATAAATCTATAAAACGTATTTGGATTCCGTTGAACTGGCATAACCTATTACTGTACAAAGCAATAAAAGTTACAACCTTACAGGTACAACTCAACTATCAGACCGTCTGCGCCTTGTTTAACGATTTAACCCAAATGACTTGGAGCAAACTTACACATAAAACTGAAGTTTATTCTGTCGGTGTTGACACGTCTTTTCCGGTGTCATTTCATATAGCTAGTTGGTTTCATGCACGGTTATTGTGCATATACTCAATTAGGGCTGAAATAAAACAGCAACAATTTTATATACGTACTTTAACACCATCCTTGAACAGGCTAAGCCGCAATCCCAGTGATACCATTGCCGAAAGGCTGGTACGTCCAGCAGGACCAGATCATCTGCAGGGGTCAAACAGACATGAAAACGTGAAATGCAATACACTCGGCGTCATCGTTTTATTCGGAAGATTACAAAGGGGTATAGAAAACCGAGCAGGAACAGTCATCAAGGTACCAAAACGATGAGATGCCGGTGTGTAGCAAAGCTTTACAAGGCTCTTTTCAGTATTTTGGGGAAAAACGGGCAGCGCCAGTTGTACTATACCGTACATTTGTGACTTCCCCAAGTCACCTTGTATATCTTCATTTTTTCTTCCCCGATCCGAAGAGGCACGGTTATCGGCCAGGAAGGTACACCCAGACACACCGGGAAGGGGACCCGGACGACCCAGTACCACGCTGGCCAAGGAAAAAACACAGCGGCGATCATCCGTCCGCAACAAACCTGTCATCCTGCACGGATCACGGCGGCCGGTCATTCTCTCCTGGTCGCCCCTGCTAGCGACGGTCCATTGAAGCTCCTCCAAGCACCCTCGATGGCTCGCCAGCCACTTCTTACGGTTCCGCCCTAATCTCCGCCCCCACAGCTGAGGCGCCGCCGGCTGCTGTGTGCACCACCTGCGTTACTACACTGTAGTATTACACGATGTGCACGAACAGAAATGCCTTACTCAGGAACTAATGCCTAGGTTTCGTACTACAGTGCAATGTGCACCGCTGTTACTACACTATTATACTCCAAGGGACACTGTAAAGCTTCCTTTCTGCGTACTCTTAGTTTTCTAACCGTGCATAAATGTCCTACTTAGGAAATGATGGCCGAGTATAGTTACCACTTGCAAAGTGCGATGGTGTTACTACAAACTTCACGTGTCTCATTAAAAGCAACGCCGGATATAAGCCTGTCTTTTAAAGCAATAACAGCTATTCATTATTGCGATAGGCACACGTGTTAAATCTTTAAAAAGAGAATTCACCCAAGGATATATTTTTACAAGGTTTTAAGGGAATAAAAACAGTTAATTTCTCTCCGAAAAGTATGAATCACTCGCAAAACCGTTGCCACTCTTGAATATAACTTGTCAACACATTTTTTATTGAACAAATAAACAAAGTGTACACAAACATTGGATATATAAAAAACAGTCGAGGTTAATATCACAAATTATACTGTAGTAGCGTAAACAATAAATATGTTATACGTTTTTACACCGTTCTTGTTCCTAAGTTTACAAAGTGTGGTGGCATAGTTGTTTAACTTTTGAAAGAAAAAAAACGAGATTGAGATGAAAAATGCCGCGCGCAGAGAGCTTTGCGCAAACTGACAGCGACGAACACTTGGTAACTTCCGGTTTGATGCATTGTGGGTATCGGAACACGTTTGTGAGCGTACTCCATTCAAAAGGTTTGCTGGGTGCCGCGGCACCCTTCGGAAACAGTTAAATTTAGTCGTCAGTCACGGCTGTTTAAAACTCAAAGCTTCCATAAGTCTCACATTTGAAGACCAGTACCTGCCGTTAATACTAGGAGTGTAAGTACAACGATGTTCTTTTGTGTTTTAAATAGGCCGTTGAGTTTGTTTAGCCTGATTGCTTGCTGCGTATTCTTAACTCGTTTTGTGAAAATCGGTCTTTAATCAAATATATATAATGAGGGCTCATCTAGTAGACTAGATAAACATTTAATTTGAGGACGTTTTCCCTCTGGCATATTTAAATCTACAGTTTCTATTGTTTATATGATTTTGTCTTGCTGCTGACTTTAAATGAAGAACCACGTATTCACATTAATGTCACTGGTCATGGCCGTAATGCGTGGTCTAGAGTGATCCGAGTCTCTGTTAGTTGATTTTGATTTATATAGCTGATATCCTTTTTTTTTTAGCAGATGCCGACGTCTTGTATTAAATATACCTATCCAGATTAACCATTGTTTTTTATCATGCATCACCAGCTGTGAAAATGTCCATCGGAGTACCTATTAAAGTCCTGCACGAAGCAGAGGGCCACATAGTCACGTGCGAGACCAACACCGGGGAGGTGTACAGAGGAAAACTCATTGAGGCTGAAGACAACATGAACTGCCAGGTTAGTCTGGTTCCGCACAAAAAGATTCCTTTATTTGCAGTAGTACTTTTCAGTACCGTTCTGTATTTATTTTTTTTTAACACAAAGTACACCTGGAGATTTCAGAGTCCCCCAGAGTTTTCCTATGGACCCTGTTGGCAGTGGATTAAAGTACTTCCTCCTTTCCTCTAGATGGCCAACATCACTGTGACGTACAGGGATGGCCGGGTGTCTCAGCTGGAGCAGGTTTACATCCGCGGCAGCAAGATCCGCTTCCTGATCTTGCCAGACATGCTGAAAAACGCACCCATGCTGAAAAGCATGAAGAACAAAAACCAGGGATCTGGTGCCGGTAGAGGGAAGGCAGCCATCCTTAAAGCCCAGGGTACGCCCCTCCCCTTCCACAGCTGCTACAAGATTCTTTATTTGCCTTTAATACATCAGTACATAGGAACTCTTACTCATGGCTTCCGGTCAATAACATGTAATGTATAACAGGGTTCGACAGCACAAAACATCAAAGTAGTCGTACATATTTATGGGATAAATTTAAAATAGATGAAATGGCTGAAATAGAATACATGGATCAGCAAATTATATATTGAATAGGACCTGATTTATTCCTGAAGCCCTAGATATGAAGCAAATTAATGTCCAGTTCAGTAAGTCTATTAATTGATTAGATTCCACTTTATTGTCATTGATCAATGTACAAGTACACAGACAAGAAAATGCAGTCGATCTTCAATCATTTTAAGAATTCAGTAATGGGGCTTCCACGTCCTGCACTCCTGGTTATTCTAAAGGCTGATCTATATTTCTGCGTTTAGCCTACGCCGTGACTTACACAAGTGGCCAACACCGTTGCAAGCATTGTGCGAGTATTGGTGTCTGTGTCGCTCAATTACACTGTCCAAATGCTAGGTGATCCATAGTTTTAGATGTTGGATTTACTGCCTTACCATCCTGCGATACGTTCAATTATTCCATCACGCAACCGAAACAGAGAAAATATTCTTTAACAGTTCCCATTTATTGAGTCCTGGTTATATATACGCTGCTCCAAACTTCCCGCAGACAAATCTGGGAAAAACTGTAGAGGTGCCACAAAGTCACCTTTTTTGTGTTTTCTCATCTGAAGTTAGTGTCTATACTACTTTTTACTTTTTTTTTTAGTAGTTTAAAGTATGAATAAACTTTTTGGAGGTCGTGGAATTGGTGCTGTTATCCCGAGAGTTTCGTTGACATGATTATACGATGCCTATGGTGGGTTATTTAATGCTAGATATAAATAGCTCTTCAGGTTCAATCAGCGATAAAAGTACACCTGGGATGTACGCTTTCTTTTCTCCCATAAGAAGAAAAGAATGCTACCAAGTGGACCAATCATAGTTCTTGCGATTTGTGTCTCCAGGACATGTAGTTGCATTTCTGGGGGCGTGCCTGTCAGGCTACAGCATAAGGTTCACGGCTATTTACAGGTCGATGTGACGCTGAAGTATGAATCAGCCTTCAGAAAGGGTGGGGTGTAGTGGTTAATTAATGAATATTCAGCTCCTTTTGAAAACACTTCAGTATTTTTTGGGTGCTTTGTCAGTTTCTTTCCTCCAAAACCTCATTTAGTTCCAAACCATCCAGTCTGGAAAAGTCTTCCTTAAAAATTCACATGAGGGCAGAATACTTAATGCAAAGCTATGGAGCCTCTTTCTTGGGTGATGTTCTTTACATTTGCTGCTGCTCCTCATTCGGTTTGGTTTTGCTTTGACAATAAGCCTCCCTAAGCTGTTCTGCCATCCTGGAGTTGTCTTTGCATTAATTTAGATTTGTGGCATATTAGCCCCCATACATGTAATGTGTGCATTTCTTCTCTTACAGTGGCTGCAAGAGGACGTGGACGTGGAGGGATTGGACGGGGAAATATTTTCCAGAAAAGGCGATAATTACACAGTATAGGTCCCCTTTCCCTCTTTAAACACCTGATTTGTAGTTTAATTGTGAAAATGGTGGTTCTTTCATACTTTGTAGTTGAAATTTCTTGTTCATAATAAAATTCCTTTTAGTATTATAGTTTTTAAAGTTTTTTCACTTTCGCCTTAAGCCTCTTATAGGTCTGAAGTGATGTATAAACATGATGTCAAAACATAGTGATTCCTTAATAGAATCTCTTGCTTGACATTCTTAACTTTGGTAGTGTGGTGTTTATTTGAATGATTTTTTTTCCATCAATCTGAGGGCAATAGGTGGTCAGATTTTTTTGAGAATTCTCCCATTGCTTAAATACTGTCTAAAATCTTTTTTGCAAGCTTGGTTTTCTTATTCCGAATGTCTTCTCTCTTTACTGTTGAGATTTCTCCTATGGTCATGAAGTTTAAGAGAAATGTCTTCACTGGGTGGCTGGTTGTTTCTGCCACTCTTAACTCTGCTAACTGTAAGTCTGGGTCCAGGGCAGGCAGGATGTGTTGATCTTTTGAGGATCGTTGGAGCTCATTTCACTGGGTACCGTATCTCATCTCCTCAATGAGCTTCAGAAAAAAAAAAAAGTTGAAGTGTTTCTACATGTAAACCTGCATTTGTGACCTCATATGTTCGTAGCCTTGAGGATTTTGTTGTACGTCTCATGGATACTAGTAGGAACAGAAGCCACACAATCTTTCGACCCATCCAAAACTGTACTTTCTTTTTTGTATAGTGCCTCCTGCTGCTGGAGGCAAGTATGATGACCCAATTACCCATGGCATTTGCCTGCAGAGAGGGACTGAATGTGACTTAGAGAGACATCTGCACTCAAATGGGTCTTTGTGGCTAAAAAGGGACCATATGACATCACACGGCGGGGTCACTGTCCATCTCTTACCAGGCTGAGAAAAGCAAGAATTTCCACAGAACAAGTGCTGGTCACCAGAACTGGCTGTGTCCATGACTACTGGGCTAATGGGAGTTTTACTTGCACACAAATGTTCTGAGGACAGAAAGAATGATTATTTCAGAGAGAGAACCAATCAGGTTGTACAAGTGGTGCGTCCAAGCAACTAGATGAGGGACAGAAACATTTCGGCCTATATGCACCTCTTCAAATAGGTGGATTTTGATGTTGCTCCAATCTTCCCAATGCTTATTCAGTACATAATACTTCATGATGTGTAGCATTTTATGTTGCACAGCTGAAGTTTGCTCATTCTTCACTTTAAGTTTTAAGTCTAAACAATGTGTTAACAGCCTGTCTGTCTTTAGCTTGATATCATCCATCTGCACTAATCTGTCCTGGTTTTGTGCACTGGCTCACCTTCACAAAGACAGTGATGTTATGGATGCTAAATGCTTTGGTCAAGGTTCTGCTCTCAACACCGTCGTCATTACAGTACTTTGCAAGCCTGTTAAACAGACGGATAATTTTATAACAGATGGAAATCTGTAGGCAGGGCCGTCATGCACAGTCAAAGAGAAGTACACTCATCTAAAGGATTATTAGGAACACCTGTTCAATTTCTCATTAGTGCAATTATCTAATCAACCAATCACATGGCAATTGCTTCAATGCATTTAGGGGTGTGGTCCTGGTCAAGACAATCTCCTGAACTCCAAACTGAATGTCAGAATGGGAAAGAAAGGTGATTT